CACAGAATTATATATATATATATATATATATATATATATATATATATATATATATATATATATGAGGGTGGACTCTCCTGTCGTATTCGCCGTTTGAGGGTCAAGCAGTTCAGTTCCTAGGAACCGACAGCCCAGACAACAGCACATGAGAATTGATTATAGTGGTGAAGGCTTTGTGAAGAACCAAACACACTTTGTGATGGGCCGAATACAGAGACCTGGTGCACTACGTGTCACAAGGTCCCCAAACGACCCTCCGCAGGTTTTGAATTCAGAGTTGTCCTTCTCCTAGACCAGTTGCCATCCAAGGCTATAGAACCCAGTCTGTCCTGCTATTTTACTTTACCTATAGCTGGAGGGGGAAGAAGAGGATTCATAACTTTCCCAAGGGTAATAGAACGTAAGTGAATGTAATGGATTTGATTGGAATTCGAACTTGCCACACACACACACACACACACACACACACACACACACACACACACACACACACACACACACACATATATATATCCAAAAAGTTTGTTGAGAAAGAACCGACATTTTTTTTCTTGTATTTTTCGAATTTTTGGTGTTGAGTCTCGTGCTCGAAGTTATGGATAAACTGTCCAAAGTTCATATTTTGTTCAAGCATTTTCAAGGACCAATGTGGTGTCTGTGTAAGAGTTAGAATTGTCTTTGCATACAACCCGGTATTCTTTAGAAAACTGTAAATTTGAAATAGTCACGTCATGTGTGGCCGTTACTGGGAACGAAGCCGTACACATTCACACACTTATATATATATATATATATATATATATATATATATATATATATATATATATAAATAAACAACTTTTGTCGAATTCAACTGATAATTTCTATCTAATTTTTATATTTTCCAATTTTCAAATAGACATATATTGTATGTTGAATTTAAAATAAAACAAACTAGTTTGGATGAATTATATATATATATATATATATATATATATATATATATATATATATATATATATATATATATATATATATATATATATATGAAAACTCCTGTCGATAAGTGTTCGAGCCTCGATGAAAACGAATCTTTCATCATTACATTCCGGATTAACTGATATAGCACATCGCAAGTGAATGTAACAAGCTGGTTCAGTCACGACTGATTTGGGCCAGTCATTCAGTTTACAAACGAATTGTGTTCAATCATGTAAACAACCCAAACAGACTACGGCAGAATAGGAAATGTGTATGCGGCAACTGGAAACACAAGCTAGAAATAAATACACCAAGTTAAAACAGTTGAAAAAATACACATGATTTCGGGGGAAAGATAAAAGTACCAAGAACTGTGCAAACTATTAAGATTTTAATATTTAAATCAACGGTATATGCCCAAAGAGAACGTTGTTATCAAAATTAGAAAAGCGAATGAATTTTATTCGGCTTTGAAATTCAAAAGAGCTGAATTGTTTTTTTTGTTTTTTTTAAATCGAATTCACACCATGAAAGGCTTTAAACCCGGAAAACAATGTTTTACTGAGTATAAGAGAATTAGAAAACCGATGCATTATTGAGAAGCGAGTTTCAATTCCAGTTAGGTTCATTACATTCACTTACGTATAATTACGCTTGAGATAGGTATGAATCCACTCTCCCCTGTTATGGGTTAATTAGTAACACTTGTATCAATAAATCATTTTTCTCTCTTCTCCAGAATATATATCTACATATATGTGGACAAGAGAGAAAAATGATTTTATTGATACAAGTGTTACTAATTAACCCATAGCAGGGGGGAGTAGATTCATGCTTATCTCAAGCGTTATTATGTCTACCATTCATTAATGTTTAGAATATTCTTCTAGATACGACCTGTTGCTCCTGCTATATAGTTAGAGATCCTTTATGAAATCTCAAAAAAATAAAAAATAAAAACAAAAGAATCTGCAATGTTATTGGTCCTGACCTGGCATCTCGACTTAAATCACTTACTCATCGCCGTAATATAGCTTCACTAGGCTTTTTGTAGAAATACTTCCATGGTCAATGTTTTGATGAACTCTACTACGTGCTACCTCGACTCTACGAATTTAAGCGCATTCCTAGATTAACGGAAAGATCTCATCATTTTACAGTCGACATGGCTAGATGTAACCGTAATATATTTTTCTCTCGAACTTCTCGCTTGTAGAACTTTCTAGACATGTTTGACCTTCAACAATTTAAATGTAATGTCAATCGTTATTTTCTGTTTTCTTAATTTCTGTTTTTCTTATTGATCTCGCTTCTCAATACTGTTTTTCTTATATTCTTTCACACTCGGTAACCCCTGAGTCTTAGTGGCTCTGTTACCTTGCTTGGGGTGAAATGATTAGGTAGGTTATTCGCTGTTTCCATCTACTCCTTTGTTCATTATGTCCTGTGAGCGTTCAACATCGTCAAAGCTAATCGTCCAGACATCGTGATCAGAGACCAGAAAAACAGAATTTGCCTTCTTATTGATATAGCAGCCATTGTAGATTGTAATGTTTAGATCTTTAAAAAAACCTATCAAACTACAAGGATCTTGAAGTAGAAATCTAAAAATATGGCACATGAGGATAACAACAATTCCAGTTGTAGTCGGAACTCTCGGATTGATTGGTAAAGACTGAGAAGACTCAGTGAAAGGATTCCTGGTAGCCCATGCCTTAAAGAAATACCAAAAAATTGCATTGACAAGTATATTTCACACATTACGAAGAGCTTTACCTACAGGGTGGTCCGAAGGGCTTGTCACCCCTACGAAAATTAATGAGAACAATAAAAAAACAAGTAATACAAAACACGTGTACTGGATTCAGTTTATTCAGTTTATTCACTTTCATTGACGCTGTCACACATAGAGAAAGTCTTTATGAACACCATCATTTTTGTGTCAGTCCTCTGAAATAGAAATTTATATTATGTAAAGGTGACAAGACTTTCGGACCACACTGTATATAAAATGCGTGTGATCTAAGGTTTCTTTTTCTTTACAAAAATCGTCAGTGGACAATGTCATGATGTCATTTCTGATCTTAGATCTCTGGTTGGGACCCGGAAGGAAATGTGTATACAATTTGAAATCCAAGGAAATAATAATAATAATAATAATAATCATACGAGTGGGCACTGCCTGACCCAATTTAAAATATCTGCGTTATTTGTTATTGCAGTTAGTTTTCTTTTATATTGTAAAATGCCAATTTGCAGTTTCGTCTTCTTCTACCTACCGTGTCCATTAAGAACGTGAAAGATCATGGCTCTCCACAGTTTCCTGTCGATTGTAGCTCTTAATAAACCTTGTCATTTTGCTATCTCTCCGTTCTGTCAACCATTTACACAAGATCGCGTTATTTTCCTCTGTCTCTCTTGCCTTCAGTATGTCCTGTAAGTATCAAATTTTCCAAGCCTTCTTTCCTCATGCGTCCTAGAAATTTCATCTGTCTCTTTCTGTCGTTAAATATAAGTGCCCTTGTTGTTTTTAATTTTCTTAAAATGCTATTCTCGGCATCTTTTGTGGAACCATATTTCCGTTACTTCAAGTCTTCTCTTCATCTATGAAGAAATTGTCCTGCATTTACAATAATGAAACACATGGGATATTTGAAAATGAAGAAAGGGGTGACACAACACACAAAAAAAAAAATCAAGTCTTTGAAAATTTCTGTTGATATCCACAAATAGTCAGACACGGAATTTACATTTACAACTATCAATTTCCCCGGTGAAATTATGAGAAATACTTTAAAAATTATGAGAAATCTATTAAAAAAATGAATTTAACATATTTTAAGAAATGAAACAATAATATCTATAATTAGACGATTTCCAGATAAACTCTAATTATAATCCCTGTCCTGGGTTTGACAATAAGCTACATCCGGCAGCAAGGCATAACACAGGGTGGTAGCACCAGTTAAGGTCCCAACTATGGGCAAATAGTCAACCTTCAAACTGGGGCCAAAACACTGCGAAAGAATTAAAATACTTTTTAATAGTATATTTATTATTCATAAAATGAACAATTATGGCAAAAAATACAATTTAGTGGTAAAAATACCAGCAATACATTTTTTAAATGAAATTACTAATGCTTCCAAGAAAATTAAATTTCGGCATTAAATGACCCATAAGGTGTTGCTATGCCGCTCAACAAAGAAACCCAAACCTAAAATATAATGCCGTGTCTAGGCTTACATCCATGCAAAATAAGATTATTAGAGCATTATCGACTGTAAATGTAGATAGAGAAATCGGTTGCGTTTCGGCATGAGGATTCAGTCGACTTTATTACATTCATTTACGTGCTAATACTTTTGGAAAAGTTATGTATCTAACTCTCCTCCCCCAGCTATGGGTAAAGAGAAGAAAAAATTTGGTTTTATAGCCCTGGGTGGCAACCGGTCTAGGAGAAGGAAAACTCTGAATTGGAAACTGTAAACAACTAAAAGTAAGAATCGTTTGCATGATCTCAACTATGGCCGACGCCTTTATTTTTATAAGACAATCCGGAAAATGTCGATTTTTGACATTTTTCGCAGATGTATTGGCATCATTAGAAGAAGGATTGTATTTCCGTAAAATCTACATTAGTAAGACAAAGCGTGATTCATGTTAAGTATATGGACGTTGATTATTTTTTTATTTTATTTTAATAACAGAGCTAAATTTAACAAACGATAAAATACATAAAACTGTCTAATACAATAAATATTTTTTGAGTGATTCTTTTTCTATGGTTTATCAACAGTTTGCAGGTTATTTAAACCCAGAAAATAATTTATTTTAGATCGCAAGAATTAAAAAGAAAACAAAAACTAATGGTGTAGCGATACAAGTTTTACTAATTAACCTATATCTGGGGAGAGAAGGATTCATACCACTCCCAAGGGTATTTGCGCATAACAATGTAACGACTTCAACGGGAACTGGAATTCGGCTCACTGATTAAGAATTTCAAGCCATTATCCATTACACCCACACATCCAATCTTACAGCACTTAGTATTTCAAAGCGGTCACCTATGTAAGTCCTGACTAGACACGATGTTGCTTAACTTCGGTGATCGTACGGGAACCGAAGTTTCAATCTAAGGTGGCTGTAAGCGGAGATGAAGCATAAAATCATGAGAAAGAATATTATGAAAATGCAGGATGAGGACTTTTTAAGTTGGATGACTTTATTAAATCAAATACGTTTATTATTTATTAATTAAAAATACTTTTTAAAAAGTATTATCTTTTCCCGGTAAGTGACCTGTTTATGCAAGATTACCTTGAATTGGAAATGTTGGCATGAGATTTGCTAAACAAATCTCTAAAAAAGCAACAATCAAAACCCACTTCTCTGTTTGCGCGTAAAAAATAAAAATCGATGAATTTAAAGAACTGGTAAAAGATGGTGAAAAGCTAAGGTTTTTGTTTAATAAAAAAAATAAATTAATAATAATTTAGTTTGTGAATGCTGAGTCTGTATGAATATAAAAACAATAAAATGTTTTCTGTTTTATTCATATGGTGCTGCTATGTGAAATCATGCAGGAAAAAAAAAATCAAATATTAAAAACTCTTGAATCTCTATAAAAAGGCACATAGAGAATTCTTCAGCAATGAGAATATATTTGTAAATATTTATTCCTAAAAGAATTCCATGATGTATTTGCTGCTTGAATTAAGGCAAACATGGACGATCGTACCCACAAAAAACGGTTTGTTAAAAGGTCGGTTTTTCCGTTGACACCGTTATTATTTTAACTACCTTCACTCCTCGGTAATCTTTATTGTTTTAACTGTAATAAAAACCTCAACATATAAAAGTGAATTTATACATTTTTTTTGTCTTTGAGAATTTACAACAAAAATATTAAACACTTTATTTATTGGATTGTTTATTTACAAGAATAATTTCATATTTACAACATTTTAAAATCTAATATAATTAAAAAATCATGCAATGCAATATCTATCAGTTATCTATTTATAAAGTAAAAAATATGAAAACTATTTTTATTTACAAATTCATAGTCATTTACTAAATTATTCAAATATATGAACCAAGTATGAGAAAATCCATATAAGTCCCAGAAAATCGTACACAGATGTCCTCAAAGACACTTGTCAAAGTGGATAAAGGCGTTGGTTAGATCCAATGACAGGACCGAAAAAGTTGTGAGTTCAATGCCTGGTTAAGGCAGTGGAGAACTTGGAGAGATGAATTAACAGGAAATAACTGATAAGTGACATCCATTAGACATGGCACGTGGAACTAGAACAGTCTACCCCAGCGAGCGAAATAAAGTGTTCAGTTCGATATTCCAGCCACCTGAAGAAGGCCGAAGCGTACAACGGCCGAAACATTGTGATAAATATGGCAACAAAGATGAGGGCAATAGTCCGAATAATGTAAATAGTGTACATAATACATCATCTCAAAAATATAGACAGATATCAAAATCCATATTATTTAGCATTTTATAAAGTTTGAATCGATTGGCAATGGCTGATGTTTTGTCAACTATTCGAATAAACAATTTAATAAATAAATAGTTTATTATTTTGTTGACATTGCAAGAACGAAGAAAATGTAAGAATTCACTTTCATCATATGTTTAGGTTTTATTACAATTGGAATCATCGCTTTTTAGAACAATAAACATTTCCGAGGGGGTGAAGGTAGTTTACATAAAAGTCATGGAAAAAACCGTCCTTTTGACACTCTGATTTAATTGTGGGCACGAATTGTCCCAATTAAAATAATGAAAAGTGACAATTTTAACCTTATATTACATTTTTGCCAAGAATTCTCTGCCAGCATTATTAATGTTTTTCAGTCAATTATAGAATTAGCTGTCTATCTTTACTGTTATTTCGCCCTTTCTTACGCTAATACAACTCCACACACTAACCCTCTACCTTGAGTGACCCTTCGGCCTTGTATTGGGTGAACATTAGTAAAAAAAATGTACACTTAGTAAAAGACCCAAAAGCCACTCAAGGTAGAGTGTTACTGAATGCGGTTGTGGATGAAGTAAGATTGTGAAGATAGGTAGGATAAATAAAGGTTGACCTTAGATTTGAAGAGGTTAAAATATCAGTGACGTATCCTTTCGGTAGTCTGTTCCACAAAACAGAGGTTCCCGGAAAGAAGTTGTCTGAATGGAACTTCCTTCTACAGTCAGTTATATGCCATGCGTGATACACCCTTAGGCGATCATGTATCTTTCGATACATGACTGACGAGGCAGATTTTTTTCCCGCAGTAAGTTGCCATTTCTTTCTGCGGTAGACCAGTTGCCATCCAAGGCTATAGAAACAAGTATGTCCTGCTATTTACCCATAGCTCAGGGGAGAAAAAGAGGATTCATACCTTTCCCACGGGTATTTGCGCGTAAGTGATTGTAATGGATTCGACTGGAATTCGAACTCAGCTCTCCGATTCCTCAATCCGAGCCGCTATCCATTACTCCACCGTGCCTCCCCAATCAATGTTATACTGCTGCCAATTCATTTTTACTTTTAGCCAAAGTTAAAATCCATTCGAAAAGATGGCTTACCTATCAAACTGCCATCAATTTAAGTGCGACAGTCTGACTATCTACTTGAGAGTCATCCAATTATTGGAGACAAGAATTTCTCAACATGTGCCAACATGCGTTAGGAAAGCTAGGTTTCAAAATATGCACAAGTGATCTAGTATATCCGGGTCTGCAATCTCCAAACATCTTGTTAATAATCGGCAATAATCGGCAACGCCTCAAAAACTAAACTGCTCTCTATCAATCACCATAGCGATCCTTCCCTACCCCCCATTAAAATGTCTGATGCTCAACTTCTTGAGAGCAACTCTCTGCGTCTGCTCGGTCTCACGCTGACCTGAGATGGAACAAATACATTGAGTCAATTGCTTCGTCCACCGCAAGGAAAGTTGGCTCTCTGTGCCGCGCCAGGAAATTTTTCTCCCCGGAATCGATACTTCAAATATATAAAGCAACCATTCACCCTTGCATGGAGTATTGCTGCCATATATGGTCTGGGGCACCTTCTGTTTACCTCGGAGTTCTTGACAAGAACCAGAGACGGATATGTAATATAATTGGCCCTGATCTGGCATCTCGTCTACAGTCAATCTCTCACAGACGTGCCGTCGCCTCTCTCTGTCTTTTCTACAAATACTTTCATGGTAATTGCTCTGATGAGCGACTTTCACTGGTTCCCAGACTCCATGAATTCAAGCGCCCTACGAGGCTGGCATCCCGCTCCCACCCTTACACTGTAGAAACTTTTAAATGTAGCCGTCTCTTCTACTCCAATAGCTTCATACCTCGCACCTCTCGCCTGTGGAACACCCTTCCCAATTACTGTTTCCCTGAGAGCTATAATCTCCAACTATTCAAATGTAATATCAATCGACATCTCCAGTTACCTTGATCTATCCACTATCCTTCTCCTCATCCTTTCTTCTATCACTCCTATCTGCTCTCGCTCCAAATCTTCTGCAACCCCTTGCGTGTTAGTGTCTTCACGCCTTGTTCGGGGCGTAATGCTTAAAAAAAAAAAGTAAATTTTTTATGATGAGTAGATCACATCCTGACTTCCACTTGAAAGTTTATGAGACATTTTATTTCTGAAATCAAAGTAAACTTTGTTGTATAAATAAAGGAAATAGTTGTTAGATGTACATGATTTTTTTAAATGTTTTTTTAAATCATTTCACCCCAAGCGAGGCGGTAATATCACTAAGACGCAAGGTTTTACTGGAAGTAAAAGGCAATTAGAAGACTTTAGTGAAGAGAAAGTACAATAAAAGAACAACTTTCAGAGAAGCAGAGGGTGACGATAGGCGTTGCATTTAAATTTTTGGAAGATTGTAGTTGGCAAGGAAGCAAGAAACCAGAAGAGAGTTCCACAGACGAGAACTGCAAGAAAAAAGATTAAAGGAATATGACATACGGTTTACAGCTAGCTAGTTTAAAAGTAAAACGATGGGACCTAATTGTCAATCTAGTAATAGGCTTAAATTCCTGCAGTTTAGGCACCAAGGAGGAAAGCTCCCCAGAACAGTTATTTTGTTGTAATTTAAGTAGTTGTAATTTTAAGTATGCATATTCTGCTGATAAATCATCAGTTACCTCCCCTTAAGATCTAGGAGGTATAAAAAGCACCATGTTATTTTCGTCAGTAGATGAGTAGTCAGAGTAAAGTGTAATAAAGCTTTGGTATAAGTTTATTCACTGGTTCTGTTTTTACTACACATATGTTAAGAGTAATATAAGTGTTTTTCTTATCTCCGCTCCCCATTTTCTAGTTATAGTGCTCAGTATATTATTGCCTCAATCGAACTCTGATGAGAGTGTAACGAAAACCGGTCAGAGGTTTTTTTTTAATATGTTCTTATTTCTTTTTCAAATTGCTGATTATGATAGTTTTATTTTCTTTTTGTCCAATGAAGAATCTTTCCAATAAATATGTCTGCCTTTGTTAAAGTGGTGAAAATTTTGCCTCCAATAAGATCTTTTTTTTTTTATTTAATTGTTTCCTATTTTTTTTTAAATCTCAACTCTGAAATCCTTTTTATATACTACGACCAGCAGATAGCGGGAAAAAAGAAGTAACCATAGACAAGATTTAAACAATCATCTCGTATCAGGAGCCTGTCTAACATGGGTGATGCATGACCGATTGGGCCACGAATATCCATAAGAAGAAGAAATTTAAATTTACCCCATGTAAGAGTTTTTGATTACAAATTGTATTAGAAAACGTAATTGTTTTTTTCTTTTTTTTCTGAGAATTTTTTATGTTAATTTTACTTCTACGATATTTTTGTTACGTTATATCACAATGCATGGGTTGTCAGGATCGGGGAAGCATTCTCTCGGGAGACTGCTAAAAAAACAGGGAAGATGCAAGGAAATGAAATTGAGTCGATCCTGTGTAAGTGCCTTGATGAGTCCTAGTTGATAAGGTCTGAACTAGTAGAACTAAGAAATGTAGCTCGTCTGAACATTTACCATGAAACTAGCGATAGATTAATGAGAAACTGCCAACGTTTCGACTGTGAGGAAAGCGGTTGTAGGATGGTAAATAATTCA